TAACAGAGATGACTCAGTAGAGAGAAGAAATATGATGATGTATGAACAGAGCCCAAAGAAGGAAAATAATAATATAATAATATAATAATAATAATAATAATATACTAGTACACAAATTGCAGGGCTGACTACAACTGAGAACAGATCATGTAATAGAAACAAAAGCAGACTATTTCAAACAGATATGACTGACTGGCAGAAGTGATGTAGAAAAATTTTCTTCTAATGGCTTCTATTTTCTCAGTGAGATAAGAAGCAAGATCATTAGTCTGAAGTGAAAAACAAGGAGGTAAAGAAATTCATCATCTGGAAAATGGGAGAGTAAGTGGACTGAGGAAATATCATAGGGCAGCCAGAAGGTGCTCATTTGACATTGTTGGTTATAAATGTAAAGTGAACACAGCTACAATAGGGCAGGAGAGCTGAGATGGAATTTAAGCCAGAAGAGGAAAATATAAACTAGGAGGAAATGGGCAATGAAAAACTAACAAGTTCCACAGGTCCAAATAAGACAAAGACATTTTTGGAGGCAGTCTTTGAGGAATGCGCAGAAAACATAGGAGGTAATGGTCAGGGAGTGGGATGTTCATTGTTGCAACGACGGAATAGTTGCTACTATTAATATTATCAAATTTGATGGCATATTACAGATGAGAGTTCTGAGGTATGGTAGGAGACAAGACCATTCATTGAAAAAGAACAATCAAGAAAATAAAAGGCCATGCACTATTGAAACGGTCATCATTTTGGGATACTAAAATCATCAAGAGTGATGACAGTGAGTCAGGTATTAAACTCTTCCAAAAATGAGGGTCTGCAGATGACCCTAACATGGGGGGGGGGGGAGGTAAGCCGGTGATTTAGTCTAGTGGCAAAAGTGTCAGAGCTTGGGGAAGAGGTGAGGGGTTAGGAAGCAGGAAATAGTCTGGCAATGAGAAGGAAAACACCTCCCTCACCCCACCCTAGACTCAGCAGTAATAAGGGATTAGAAAGAAAGTAGTGACCAAGTAAAAGAGCTACACAACAGTGTGGTCAGAGACAAGCCAGACTTTAGAACAAGAGCAGTGAGGGCAATCTTTAAAAGATTAGAATACAGGAATTTTGCTGACAATGCAGTATAAGTGGGCTTTGTGGATATATTTATCTGCTTGTGAATTCTCAAATACAAAAATTTCCCAGATTTTTATCAAGTGCATCACAGATTTTTACTTGTTTTATACACACACACACACACACACACACACACAAATGGCTCTGCTTAGGTTGTTTAAAAAATTATTTCATTTATAATATCACTTTCTTTTTAACGTGCTAACTACTTTGGTTAATTTATCTACTTAATGTTTCTTTATGACTTCTGTTAAGTCCTCTTGGTTTTGGAAGACTGGTGAAGCAGAGCAACAACAATGTTCTTTAGTAACTAAATAAAAACAATCCTATGAATGTCAAGATAATGGAACTGAGCTGCAATAAAAAAAAAAAAGGTCAAAGTGATTTTTGTTACTAATGACACAGTTTGTAACACGATCATACCTGTTTATTTTTTTGGAGTGGCTTCTTTTCATGTAATTTTTTCTCTCCATATTTCTTATATGTTAAAGGCACTCCATATTTAGCAGCAGGCTTTGTAATTTGCTGAGCAGACACAACAGAAGCCAAGCTTTGTCCTGAGGCTGGTCTTTTAGCTACATGAAAAGATAAAAATAATTTTTCTAGAGTTCTATATGTTAATCTTTAATTTCAAAATTCTTCAAGATAGAACTTTTTCATTTTCATAGTCTAAATAGCATGTAGTTTGAAACTTTTCATTAAACATGTAATTCCTTAGCACACGTCAATGCCTTCATTATAACTATTTTTCTAAAGCCACTTTTTGAAAGAAGCAAAAGTCACACTCCTATAAGATGCTGAAATTTCTCATATAAAAAAAGTACATCCCTAAAATTGACTGTAGGTGATTACTGCACCTATCTGTGAATATTCTAGAAAGCACTGAACTGAACAGTATGTGAATTACATCTCAATAAAGCTGTTAAAGATAAATTTAAAAAGAACATTCGCCGTAACCGGTTTGGCTCAGTGGATAGAGCGTCGGCCTGCGGACTGAAAGGTCCCAGGTTCGATTCCGGTCAAGGGCATGTACCTTGGTTGCGGGCACATCCCCAGTACGGGGTGTGCAGGAGGCAGCTGATCGATGTTTCTCTCTTATCGATGTTTCTAACTCTCTCTTCCTCTCTGTAAAAAATCAATAAAATATATTAAAAAAAAAAAAAAGAACATTCACTGTTTTAGAAGTTACTTTCAAAAACAGAATATAAACTTCAAGAACTGTTAAACATTAATTCTATAGCTATGAGCAGCTTAATATTTTCTTCATATACAGTCTGAATGTCTATACTTACAGACTTACTGAAGAACACACACTTTAAAACAATTATTATATCTAAGGATCCCATGAAACAGGTACCTTTATGTACTCCTGGTGGGAATATAAAGTGGTCAAACTATCTAGAGAGCTATCTATGTTAAGAAGAATGTTTACTGAACTCTCCAAAAATTCATCTGAAATAAAAAAAAAAAAGACCCCGAATAGCTGCAACAATCCTGAGAAAAGAAGAACAAAGTAGGAGGGATCTCAATACCAGATATCAAGCTGTATTACAAAACCACTGTTCTCAAAACTGCCTGGTACTGGCACAAGAACAGATATATAGACCAATGGAATAGAATAGAGAACCCAGAAATCAACTCAAACCACTATGCTCTATTAATATTTGACAAAGGAGGCAAGAGCATACAATGGAGTCAAGCAGTCTCTTCAATAAGTGGTGTTGGGGAAATTGGACAGATACATGCAAAAAAATGAAACTAGGCCACCAACTTACACAAAAATAAACTAAAAATAGATAAAGGACTTAAACATGAGATGGGAAATCATAGAAATCTTAGAGGAATCCACAGGCAGCAAAATCTCAGACATATGCCAAAGCAATACAGCTGCTAGGGCAATGGAAACTAAAGAGAAAATAAACAAATGGGACTACATCAAAATAAAAAGCTTCTGCACAGCAAAAGAAACCGTCAACAAAACAACAAGAAAGCCCACTGCATGGGGAGAACATATTTGCCAATGTTATCTCCCATAAGGGTTCAATCTCCAACATTTATACATACAACTCAAAAGGAAGATAAACAACCCAATCAAAAAATGGGCAATGGATCTAAATAGATACTTTTCGAAAGAGGACATAAGGAAGGCCAAGAGACATATGAAAACATGCTCAAAGTCACTAATCATCCAAGAGATGCAAATCAAAACAACAATGAGGTACCATCTCACACCTGTCAGAGTGGCTATCATCAACAAATCAACAAATGACAAGTGCTGGCGAGGATGCAGAGAAAAAGGAACCCTCATACACTGCTGGTGGGAATGCAGACTGGTGCAGCCACTGTGGAAAACAGTATGACATTTCCTCAAAAAAATTAAAAATGGAACTCCCATTTGACCCAGTAATCCCACTTCTAGGAATATATCCCAAGAAACTAGAAACACCAATCAGAAAGGATATATACACCCCTATGTTCATAGCAGCACAATTTACCATAGCTAAGATTTGGAAACAGCCTAAGTTCCCAACAGCAGATGAGTGGTTTAAAAAAACGGTGGTACATCTACACAATGGAATACTACACTGCTGTAAAAAGGAAGGAACTCCTACCATTTGCAACAGCATGGATGGTCCTGGAGAGCATTATGCTAAGTGAAATAAGCCAGTCAGAGAAAGATAAATATCACATGATCTCACTCATTTATGGAATGAACAACATAAACTGATGAACAAAAACAGATCCAGAGACAGAGAAGCATCAATCAGATGCTCAAACCATAGAGGGAAGGTAGGGGAGGGTGGGGGTAAGGGAGGGATCAACCAAAGGACCTGTATGCATGCATATAAGCCGAAACAATGGACACAGACACCAGGGGGATGAGGGCATGAGGGAGGGGCAATGAGGGGATAAGGGCACATATGTAATACCTTAATCAATAAAGAAAGAAAAAAAAGGTTTATGAATTAATTTTAAAGAAATGGAGAAACAAAAATTTATACATAAGAATAAATCCTGCAGCATTATGTATTAAACTCTTACTGAAGCCTAGACAAGGTTCACTCTTAGGACAATGATACATTCAAGAAAAAGTTAAACTAAAGTAACTAAAAGAAAAGCCTACTATTTACATCTTTCAAAGATATTACAGGAGGTCAAAGAGTATAGTCTATATCAACAGCTTCCCCAAATCCTCTTTCCTCTATTTTCCACATCTATTAAGGTACCTCTCTGATCAAACTGCCCCACAGCCTAAATAGCAGCTTTCTTTCTGCTTCTTCCAGCCTGCTATCTCAGGATCTTATCATGTGATAAATCAATTTAAATCAATCTCTTCCAACAAGTAGTCTTCCTTTTTAGGAAGGGAATGGAGAAAAAAAATTAACCAGTAGTTCTCAATGAAATGCCACCAGTAAACTCAGTTCTTCAAAGAATATTTAGCTGTATTAGAAAATGATCATCATATAATATTATAATTTAAAAGAAACAAATCTTTGTTTATAACACAACCCCAATTTTCAATTGTTATACATGTATTATTATAGGAAAAAACAAATATAACAGTATGTGTTAAGATTCGAGGTTTTTGTTGTTGTTACTCCTCACCAGAGGATATTTTTTTCATTGATTTTTGTAGCAAGTGGAAGGGAGGGAGGATGGGGGAGAGAGAAACATTGATGTGAGAGAGACATCAATTAATTGCCTCCTGCACTCACCCAACCAGAGCCATGGATCAACCTGCAACCCAGGTCCGTATCCTTGACTGGGAATTGAACCTGCAACCCTTCTGGGCATAGGCTGACACTCTAAGCATTCAGCAACACCAGCCAGGGCAAGATTCAAGTTAATTTTTATTTTCTTCTTTTAATGTTTTATAAAGAACATATATTATTCAAATAACTTAAACTTTTATAAAAATAAAAAATAATATCCATTTGATCGGCAGTTTAGAGATTCATAAGTAAGTTGGGTTGAAGAGATGAGAAATATAGTATGCTAGCGTTAGGTTTTCCAAACACATACTCCAAATATATCCTGACAGGAGCTAGGAAATGTGGGGGAAAAAAATCTTCCTGTGAGAGTTCAACTGTAAAACTAATCCAGACCACAGATACACAAAGTCATAACACTGTAACCTGGCTACATGTATTAACATCGCCCAAGACATACTGGGTATGCCAGAAAAGGGGCCAGAGGCAGAAAAGCATAAAAATGAAGAGTCCCAAGAAACTATATGAATAGTCCCCATTCACTTTCTAGAGAAGAGAGAGAATTACTTATCTGATCTTTGAGCATTTCTCAGACTCAGATGGAGGCTACCAGTAGGATAAGGACTATAAGGAGTTGGAGCCCACCCAGTATTTATAGGCCCATCAGCAATACAACTCCTATTTTAGCCCCATGCTATTAAACAGTTCATCCATCCAACTGCTCTTACAACAAAATAACTTTCTAATTCCTACGCAGGCTTACCCATGTGGAAAGAATGTGCTGACATGGTGCATTTCTGGCCTTTGTGACAATGAGGCTTTTAATTAAGATTTGACTTCTCATAAGGCTTGACTTTGACTGCCAAGAGAGATGTGCTGATTTTGCCGTGTCTGTCCTTGTGAATTTTATTTAGAGTGAATTGACTTGCCAGGAACTGACAGTCTCTGCACACTGAGAGGATGAGTCAGGAGACTTTAAGGAGAGCTAAGTATAGCTGGCCTTCCTGAGGGCACCACCACACCACTTCCAGCTTATATGGACCCAGTTTCAGGATAATGCATTCATTTTTATTCATCTGCTCACACTCAAAATGGAGTAAAACAGGAAAAACATTGTTTGAAAAACAATGTACTCGCCCTGGCTGGTGGTGCTCAGTGGTTAGAGAGTTGGTCTTTGCAGGACACGGGTTCAATTCCTGGCCAAGGGCATGTACCTGGGTTTGATTCACCCGCCCCTGTCAGAGGAGTACAGGCAACCAATCAAGGTGTCTTTCTCACATTGATGGGGTTTTTCTCTCTCACTCTTTCTCTCTCTCTCTCTCTCTCTCTCTCTCTCTCCCCCTCCCTCCCTCCCTCCCTCCCTTCCACTATCTGGAAAAAAATATCCTTGGGTGAGGATTTACAAAAAAAAAGAAAAACAATATACTCTTCAAATCTTAAATAATGTCCACTGATTTTAGAAATCCATTCTGAAGTCATTCTATATGCAAAAAAATATTTTTCCTCTCACACAAATATATGCATATACATACGCATGGTATAAAAACCATACCCACAATGCTACAAATATTCTACTGTTGATGGCCACATTAAAAAAAATTATCCTTGATAAAGTACCTAACTTCACATTAATTTATTTTTTAAATTATAGGTTATAAAGTATTTCTCAAAGAAAAATATTTTACATAAAGAGGTAGGCACTTAGTTAAGACATTTTAATAACATTCTGTGACAACGTTCTCAGAATATCACCTAAGCATTTGATAAAGACTAAAAATTTCAAAACAGATGCCACTTGATATTTTATATTTTTCATTTAAAATATTTACTTTACATCCGTGGAATCTAGACCCGACTCCCACGAACAGTGAAACTTAACAAAAGGCCTGTGTACAGATGCATCACACCATGAGCTCCTCAGCCTCACTGCAGGCTTCCCTCAGTGTGGATGTGCTGCCTTAAAAAAACTCTATCTTATTAATGGAATGGAAAACCCATCACCGAATGACAACCAAAGAAGAAACAGAACTACCATTAAAGTGGTCATTAAAATAACTACTCCACCAAAGAACTTGTGTGCATATATGCACAGCCCATGAACACAGACAATAGTGTAGTCAAGGCCTGGGGTGGGGCTGGAACAGGGAGGAAAATAGGGGACATCTGTAATACTGTCAACAATAAAAATAAACTTAAAAAAATAATAATTAGTCTGCATTTAATGCATATTAACCAACTCAACAACAGTTTCAGTACAGTGTCTTAAAGCAGTTCTTGGTCATGAAATATAGCAAGGCATTGATCAGGCTTTATTTGCTTATCTACAGACATTTCTTAAACCCTGGGAACACCCTCGATGTCCTGGAAATTTTCAATACATCATCCATGGATGGCATTTCTTACAGCCCAGTGATTTGCAGTCATCATAGACTACTGTGCGTAGCTGGTGCTGCACACACACTGACAAAGGCAGACGGAAGTGGCCTACATTTATAGGGACTGACAGAAACACTCAGCGGAAAGTCATACCTGAGTGTGGTGATAATGTCAGGACACTGGACTTATACTGAGTATGACATTCAGAAAGCTAGGAGGCTGACAGTGCAGTACTAGCAGAATACCAAGTTATAAACTGACTCTTCATTTTTTCCTCCTCCACTATCATTTTATTAATTCTTTTTTTTTTTTTTTAAAGGTTTTTTTTTTTTTTTTTCATATATTTTATTGATTTTTTACAGAGAGGAAGGGAGAGAGATAGAGAGTTAGAAACATCGATGAGAGAGAAACATCGATCAGCCGCCTCCTGCACATCTCCTACTGGGGATGTGCCCGCAACCCATGTACATGCCCTTGACCGGAATCGAACCTGGGACCCTTCAGTCCGCAGGCCGATGCTCTATCCACTGAGCCAAACCGGCTTCGGCATAATTCTTTTAAAAAAAAATTTTATTTTTAGCTACAGTACAAGGAACAATATTATATTAGTTTCAGGAATACAATCTGGTGATTAGACATTTATATAATTTACAAAGTGATCACCCCAATAAATCTAATATCCACATTTATATCTAAGACAGATTTCATTTAACTAAGGCAGACAAAAAAATAAAAATTTTGTGATTAATTAATCAGAAGGTATTATATATTATCATATCATAATTTAAATATGCATTTCATCTGGATTAAGTTTATCTATAATTATACCAATTTATTGTGTCTACATATATCTCTAGTATAATTAGTGAATATTACTACTTAGTATAATTAGTATATTAATTATTGCAAACAGGTTAAAGGATTCATTAAATTTCATTTACCTGGTATAAGCTGCGCTCCACCTTTGGAAAATGTTTTTAGACAAAATTCTTCTGCAATAAGCTTAGATTGAAAGAGGGGGGAAAGTAAGAAAAGATTTTAACTTTAAAAAAAATACATTAATCACAATGCATTTTTTCCTTCCTCAATCACATAACCCATTCACCAAATTCCTCTTCTCACTGCCTCCCAAACTTACTAATTTATTTTTATTTCTCCAAACAAGCTTTCTTTCCAAATTAACCTAATGTACCACAAAGGCCCCACACACTGCTTGCTGTTCTATAGATCAGCAATTTAACACAACTACCTCCTATTTGAAATAACCTCTATATTCTATGTACACATATCCCTTATTTACTTCAAACTGATGATGTCTTTTCAATACATCATCCATGGATGGCATTTCTTACAGCCCAATGATTTGCAGTCATCTTAGACCACTGTGCATAGCTTCATTACCCCCTTCTCAGATTAACCTCTCAGTTATTTCAACTTAACTCTGAATCTTCTCAGCATCTCTAATAAGTTTTCACTCTTATCAATATATAACTGTAAACATTATTGGATAATATTTAAATATTCCAACAAAATTTAACAAGTGCCTCTCTCTCTCTCTCCTCTCTCTCTCTCCTCTCTCTTCCTCTTCCTCTCTCTCTCTCTCTCTCTCTCTCTCTCTCTCTTTTGTTTTGTTAATCCTCACTTGAGGATATTTTTTCTTTTTTTCCTTCTTCTTTTTTTTCCCTAAAGCCAGAGGCTTATTGATTTATTTTTATTTTTATAATCCTCACCCAAGGATATTTTCTATTGTTTTTTAGAGAAAATGGGGGGGGGGGGTGGGGAAAGAGAGAGAGACATCGATTGATTGCCTCCTGCACAGGCCCTGACCAGGGCCAGGGATCAAGCCTGCTACCAAGGTACATGCCCTTGACCAGAATTGAACCTGGGACCCTTCAGTCCATGGGCCAACGCTCTATCCATTAAGCCAAACTGGCTAGGGCCAGAGGATATTTTTTCCATTGGTTTTTAGAGAAAATGGAAGAGAGAAGGGAGAGAGGGAGGGAGGAAGGAAGAGGAGGAAAGAAAGAGAGGGAGGGGGAGGAAGAGAAGGAGGGAGGAAGGAAAAGAGAGAAAGAAACATCAATGTGAGAGACACACACTGAATGGTTGCCTATTGAACCTGCAACCCAGGTACGTGCCCTTGACTGGGAATCAAACGTGAAACCTTTTGGTGTGCAGGCTGACGCTCTAACCACTGAACAACATCCAACACCAGCCAGGGCAACAAGTGTCTCTTTTTACTATTTACTAAAATATTCTATGAATATTTTATGAACATATTTTGGGAAGCAAAAATTATTAGTATTGCCTGCAAGTAATTTTCTCCCCCTTACTACATTTGTTCCCCTCTTTAAGTTCAAACTATTACACCAACAAAGATTTAATTCAATTTAAGTCTGCTCTTTTGTCTTACTGGGTGGGGAAGCAAGTTATGAATGTTGGTGGAAAAAATATTCCTACAGTGGCAGTGGACCTGAAGCACCAACAGGCAAAAGCTGTAACTGAGATGGTCGTCTTTTCCAGCAAGGATCCCCTAAAGCAGTTCTCAAAGTCTCATACCAGCAGAGTCAGCATCACCAGGAAAGTATTAAGTATGCACATTCTCAGGCTCCACTTCTGAACATGCTTTACCAACTCCAGGCTGCTCCCTATTGGGTAATTTCTTCCATTGTTTGAATTTGAGTCTTTCTTTTCCACAGTGTGAATGCAAATATGAATTGAGAGATGGGCATGTAGACTCCAAGAAGATTCTGGAATCACTATGCTGTGCTGTCCAATAGAACTGCTACCCATATGTAGCTATTTGGATTAAAATTTTAAATAAACGTAATTTGAAATTCAGCTCCTTAGTCACACCAGTCACATTTTAAATGCTCAATAAGCACATATGTCTAGTGGCTACAAAGTCGGATAATGCAGATACAAAACACTTCATCATCACCAAAGGTGATGGACAGCACTCAATGGAGTACCCAGTGAACCAGAGCTTATTCATGATTTGTCAAGCCACACCCAGGAAGAAGTTTCTAGAGTGTGCAAGACTGAGAAGTAGTGATACTGAAAATAATAGTTCATAAGTTGCAGTAAAGTTCATAACTTGTTTGAAAGTTAAAGCCTTAAAAAATGTATCACACACTTTCTCACTAGAATACTGAACAAGTGATATTACAGTCATGTATCATAATGTTTTTGTTTCCCTCAACAACAGACTGCATATATGACGGTGATTACCATTTAGCCTAGTTGTGCAGTAGGTTATATAACCTAGGTTTGTGTACTCAATGATGTTCACACAATGACAAAATTGCCTTAACAATGCATTTCTCAGAACATACGTCAGTGGTTAGCGACACACAATTGTACAGCAGAAAATAAGTCTGAAGAACAAAAGATAAAAGTTTTCATAAAGAATGAAATCTCAGTGGTGCTTAAATAGCAACAGGGAGCTAAGTATATACTAAACATGTAATGTCAAATACTCCATTTGTTAATAATCATAATCTGTCCTTTTTTCTTTCCATATTATAAGTTCTACATAAATCAGGGCCGACTATTTCCTTTTATTTCTGGCGACTTGAATTCCAGTGCTTCAGCCTTAAGACTGTATGTCCTAACTGCTGGTATTGGGGGAAAGAAACCTTAGCAAGATTAAATGAAGTCATTCTTTCTTCTTTAGTACTTGCCAAAAAAAACAAAAAATAGTACATTGCATCATAAAACTGCCCTTGAAAATGTTATTGATAACAAAGAAGTCTCATAAATGACACCCACATTTCAGAGACTGTTTCTGTATCTTATACAAGACAATTTTAACTTTCAAGTTTTAATTGGCTTTCTTGCTTACTAATGCGTTCTCCTGGTAGTAATAAATCCACATCTCTGTTTTCTGAAGAGTGTTTGTTCACAGTGATGTTCTGTTAAGCCAGAATATATATGACACTTCCCTCACCTCTCAAAAGCATATAAAAGTAATAAAACTATGATTTTGCTAGATGTCTAATTACAGAAGAGTTTAATAGTGATCACTTAAATTGACAAATAGCACACAAAACATGTAATGTAGAATAATTCCAGTTTCAGGTGATCATACTAATAACTTATGCTAACTGATTTGCTATAAATTTTTCTAAGTCCTGTCAGAGTAAAATTCAATTCAACTTAACAAATATTTATTATGTACCTATATGCAAGTACTACAGGAAATATAAATCAATAATCTATTATACATATGTGACCAAAGAACAATGAACAAGTAGAAATGTTGTTGCCAGGCACTAGTGATTGAAAGATGGGGAATAATTGGTTAATGGGTAGAAAGTTTGCTCTATAAGGGAAAAGAGATATGGTGCTAGATGGTGATGATGGCTGCACAGCACTATGAACATATTTAATACCACTGAACTGTGCATATAAACATAGTTAAGATAATAAATTTTATGTTATGTATATTTTACCACAGTAAAAAAAATTGGAAAACAAAATAAACCCAAGAGACAGAGAAATGATTCTGTTCTATTGTGATTTATAATAAGAAATACAACCCGGCCAGGTGATTGGAATGTTGTCCTGTGCACCAAAAGGCTACAAGTTCAATTCCCAGTTAGGGCACATACCTAGGTTATGGGTTTGATCCCTAGTCAGGGCGCATACAAGAGACAACTGATCTACGTTTCTCTCTCCCTCTCTCTCCAAAATCATTAAAATACCCTTGGATGAGGATTAAAAATACATACACACACACACACACACACACACACACACACACACATATACTAGAGGCCCAGTGCACAAATTCATGCACCAGTGGGGTCCCTCGGCCTGGCCTGCGGGATCAGGCCAAAACTGGCTCTCTGACATCCCCCAAGGGGTCCTGGATTGCCAGAGGGCAAGGCCAGGCTGAGGGACCCCACCGGTCACGATCAGGGCCAGAGAGGGACACCGGAGGTTGGCCAACTGGGGAGGGACCATAGGAGGGCTCCAGGGCATGTCCAGCCAGTCTTGCTCAGTCCTGATCGGCCGTACCCTAGCAGCAAGCTAACCTACCAGTCGAAGCGTCTTCCCCCTAGTGGTCAGTGCACATCATAGGGACTGGTCGACCGGCTGACTGTCTGCCCTCTGGTGGTCAGTGCACGTCATAGTGAATGGTTGAGAGGCCTTAGCATAGCAATAGCATATTACGCTTTAATTGGTTGAATGGACAACTGGATGAGTGGACACTTAGCATATTAGGCTTTTATTATATAGGATGAGCTTCATCCAGTTCCTGGCACATACTAGTAGTTCCTAAAAGCTCAGAATTTCCTAACTGTAAAGTGTGCAATGGTGTCTTTTGTTATTTATCACAGGCACCCTTCACCACACCTGAATTTTAGTTAATAAAGTAACCATAAGGCCTGGCTGGTGTAGCTCAATGACTGAGCATCAACCTATGAACCAGAAGGTCACGGTTTGATTCCCGGTCAGGGTACATGCCTGGATTTCGGGCTTAATCCCCAGTGTGGGGCATGCAAGAGGCAGCCAATCAATGATTCCCTCTCATCATTGATGTTTCTAACTCTTTCTCCCTTTTCTCTGAAAGCAATAAAAATATATATATTTTTTAAAAGTGACTTTAAGGATGGAGGCTGGTTGACAGAGAAACACACCAAGTGATTAGAAGGTTGGATTTTTAGTCCCACTCTCCCCTCCAGGAGAGCGGGGCTGGAGGTCGAATCACTCACTAAGGGCCTATGATTTCATCAATCATGCCTCCGTTATGAAACCTCCATAAAAAATTCAAATTTGGACTGGTTTGGAGAACTTCTAGGTTGGTGAACATGCCAGGAGGGTGGTATACCCCAGATCCACAGAGACAGAAGCTCCTGCACTCTGACCCTGATGAACCTTACCCTATATATTTCTTCCTCTGACTATTCATCTGTACTCTTCTAATGTCCTTTATAATAAACTGGTAAATGTTTCTCTGCATTCTGTGAGCTGCTCTAGCTGATTAATTGAACCCAAGAAGGGGTTGTGGGAACCTCTGATTGGTCAGAAGCACAAGTGACAACCTGGACTTGCAGTAACTTAAGAGGGGCAGTCTTGTGGGACTGAGGGATCTGAAGCTATCTCCAGGTGTAGTGTCAGAACTAAGCTGAATTGTAGGATACCAGCTGGTATCACAGAATTGCCTGGTGTGGGAAAACAACCACATATGTGGTGATCAGAAGCTAAGGATTAAGTGTTAAGAGGAGACACAGAACGAATGTGCTCCCTCCTAGAGACTGACTGAAAAGCAGACAGGGAGGAGAAGTTACACAGGAATGGAAAGAAAGGTGGCCCCAGAGCTGTTTGAAAAAGCACTTCATTCCCCTCCCCCCACCCCCAGGTTCTGATGTGTTTGCTCTCCTCAAAACCGAGGAGGGCATGTTCTACTTAAGCACCATAACCCTACTGTTCAATTTTAATTCTACAGTAAAAAACATACCTGAGGTGAGAGAAACTTTTCGATGCGTTTGGCTATAAAACCTTTCTCCAATATGGAGTTGACTGATGGTCTATCCCTAGGATTTCTTTTAAATAACTGAGAGAGCAAACAGCGGAGATCATAAGAATAATGCAAAGACACAGGTGGAAAAGATCCAGATATTATCTTCAGTACCAGGTTTTTCATATTGCCAGCTTCAAACTAAATTTAAAAAAATAAATTAACATACATAACACACACATACATTGAAAATGGGAATATCAACAATGATAATAGTTCATCTCCTAACAATATAGAACAGAAATACAGTCCTCTTCCAAATATTTTAACCACATACGTTCTCTAGGGCAAGGTTCACTTGGTTATTTATAAATATATTTAAAAGAGAATATCAGTCCTCATAATATGTCATAACTTGCTATAAGAATTTTAGTTAGCCCTGACCGGTTTGGCTCAGTGGATGGAGCGTCGGCCTGCGGACTCAAAGGTCCCAGGTTCGATTCCGGTCAAGGGCATGTACCTTGGTTGCGGGCACATACCCAGTGGGGAGTGTGCAGGAGGCAGCTGATCGATGTTTCTCTCTCATTGATGTTTCTAACTCTCTATCCCTCTCCCTTCCTCTCTGTGAAAAATCAATAAAATAAAAAAAGAGTTTTAGTTATTGGAAACACTAAGAGATGGGAATATAAGTAATAATTAAATACTTTATAAAAACATAATAATAATAAAGATGAAAACCAACCAACCAACCTGGTGGTCTTCATTTAAGACCTGCCTTCCTGTGCTCCTATTGTAGTAACTAAAACAAGACATCAATTATAGAACTAAAATATTTTGGAGAAATATAATAAAGTACTAATTAGTTTCCTTTTAAACACTGCTCATTATTTTTAAGTGTGTTATGTTCCCAAAAGCCATGCAATCAACAATGCAGCAAATATTCCAAAGTCATATCAATGGGAATACTATACATTTTAGTATTAAGCACAATATAAGCTCTAACTGAAATTTAAAAAAATAGAGTGGGCAGTTTAAAATCTTAAGACGATTTCATTTGGAGTGTAAGTAAAATTAAGCTTTGATATCTCGGCTAAAATAGTATAGAATATAAAACATGGTATAAATTAGGCACTGGTGATTATGCCAATTATAACATAGTTCTGTTAAATGTTAAATTCTCTTAGCACATTTAAAATATGTCCTTCAGTTGATTAAAAATTTGAATACAATTCAATTGTATAGAAGTATTTATGTACATAAGAAATCCTAAATGCAAAAAGACTTGTTACTCTAGCTCTTCACTACAATGAATTTTTATCTATCTCTCAACTGACAAACTCTTCATAAATAAAGGTAAGAGAATTACTTAATTTCATGTGTCCACTTAAGAGCAAACAATTCCAAAATACAGAAGCAATGTTGACAGTTAAATGTAGATGAAGCAATGGTAACAGGTAAATGTAAAAATATTCTGATTTAGACTTAAAATGACTGCCACAGAAAAACTAACCCATTCTTCTACATACAGATCTAATAATGACCATCCCATATCACTTTGGCAGTCTCTAATTTTTTCCTTAATAAACAAAAACAAAACCAAAGCATTACAGTAGGAGAGTATGCAAACATAATAAAAAAAAAGAGAGAGAAAAATACTCAAAGAATATTAGGAAATAAAAACAGGCTATAAAACTGCTTATACAATATAACTAAACTTTTCAGGAAAAAAAAAACAACTCACTCTATAGATTAGTCTAGAATAAACCTAAAAGGAAATGATAAAATATTACAAGTAGTCATTACTGGTTGAAAAAATTGCTTTTGGTATTTATTCACTTCTTCATACTTTTTATGTATTTTCTTTTAAGTTTTCTGTAATGAAAACACTCTACTGTTTAAACAATGGGGGAAGAATTTTTAAAAAACAAATTCTGAAATGGAAAGTGATTAAAAATCAACCTATTTAAGACAAGAACTTCCCCTTTTTGGTGTGGTATGTGCCATGTCAAAGAGTCTCAAAAGTGAAAATTTTAAAAACTCTGGATCAAAAGGTATTTAAATATATTTAAAAATCCCTTTATAAGTATGTTGAAAATGTTCCCTAGATGATTTCAATTCCAAACACAAATAATGTGGTTGTTTTGATAAAAACTGCTAAAATGAAACATATACAATTTGTTAAGCTAAAATATCAAATTCATATGTGAATTTAACTTTAAAAGTACAGCAAATTTATTTCTATCTTTAGAAATAATTTTTCAGAAAATGTATGATATATTTATTATAAGAACAAATATATAACATGAAGTATATAATATATGCATACATATTAAGGGAAAATAAATTAAAATTTATACTTAAGAGAATTTGAGAAGTTTAAAGAAGACAAAGAAGAATTTCTAGTACAAAAGGGTCATCTGAAAGATGGCATATAATTATTTAAAAAATATTATAGTCACTTTTTGACACAATATTTCAGAAAGTTGTACTTACTGCATGTTTAAGCGTGCACAACTCATAAAGGACACATCCCAGAGCCCAAATGTCACTAGGAAACAGAAGAATGACATATTTTTTGTAAGTTTCAGATTTTACTTAAAATTTTTTTCACTTTAAGAAAACACCAGCATGAAAATGCTGTGCAAAAATATGTTCCATTAACACTACGGTGTCGGGTGAATTTCCCGCCAAAATACCATACCAAATGATGAAAACAGCTATCCCAGATTAGAGAAATTTAGTATTTAAAAAAAACAAAATTGGTAAATGTTATGAATATTCTATTGTTACTTTATTTCAATTCAAATGCTTTATTCAACTATTTGCAATATGGTACATCTATACAATGGAGTACTATGCAGCTGTAAAAAAAGAAAGAACTCTTACCATTTGCAACAGCATGGATGGACCTAGAGAGCATTATGCTAAGCAAAATAAGCCAGATCTCACTCATACGTGGAATCTAATGATCAACATAAACTAATGAACAAAAATAGACCCAGAGACATAGAAACATCGAACAGACTGTCAAACCTCAGAGGGAAGGCAGGGGAGAGTGGAGGGGGGGAAGAGATCAACCAATGAACTCATATGCGTATATGCATAATCCAAGGACACAGACAGTGGGTGGTGAAGGCTTGGAGAGGGAGAGGGGAGGAGAGGGCAATGCGAGAAAAAAAGGAACATACTTTCAAAAATAAAGATTTATTTTAAAAATACCATGACTTCTAAAAATATTAAAGTAGAACACTACTTACTACTTTAGTAAACATGAAGAAAATATTAATTTACTAAAATTATATCTCAAACCTGAGAACCATCTGAAACATTAGGTAAGAGTAAATATATTAATTTATTTTACTCTTAAAGACTTAGTTACACTATCTTCTTTACATATGATCTCTTTTCTTTTCTTTAAAAATATATTTTGTGTGTGTGTGTTAGCTGTTGTCATTTTAAAAAATAATTTTTTATTGTTCAAAGTATTACATATGCCCCTTTTCTCCCCCCTTCCAGCGCACCCCTCCACCCCCGCTTTCCCTCTGAGATTCCACACTCTATCCCATGCTTCCATGTCTCTGGATCCACTCTGTTCATCAGTTTATTTTGTTACTTAGATTTATTGATTTCAGAGAGAAAAGGAGAGGGAGAGAGATAGAAACATCAATGATGAGAGAGAATCATTGGTCGGCTGCCTCCTGCATGCCTCCTACTGGGGATCAAACCCGCAACCTGGGTTTGTACCCTTGACCGGAATCAAACCTGGGACCCTTCAGTCTGCAGGCCGACGCTCTATCCACTGAGCCAAACCGGTTAGGGCAAATCCATTCTTAATTGAAAGAATGATGTTTCTTACAGTTGACTTATCCACAGGACAGCGAAATAACATTAAAATGTAAAATTACTTTAGTTCAAATACTGTTATCCTTTAGAATATTCACTAATAATATATTCAATGGACTAGACTTATTGTAACAAAAGTTTATTTAAAAAATACATTGGTAGGATGATGTTCTCAGTCTCTATGCTCAAGTTTGAAATAGAGCTTCCTCCTCATCCTCAAAAAAAAGATGGGGGAGAGGGAGGACAGATAGCAATAATACATGCGTTATTGCCAGCTATCGATTTTTACCTTTTAGCTTCTATGAGCACTTTCAAAATTAACATCAATGCTTTTCGGTTATTATTTTTCTATTGGAAAGACAGAGAGAAAATAAAGGGTAATTGGAATTCAGGGGCAGAATTTCTTTTTCCATCTAGTACATTTACAGTCTGGTAACCACAGCACAACTCAGTAATTAGAAAATTTGAGGTTGGAAGCCAGATGCCTGGGACTTTGAAGTTACTTTATATCGCTCTGCATTTGAATTCCTTATAAGGAAAGGAGGAATGACTAATACATACAATACACAAGGTTACTGTGAAGATTAACAGTTAATCACAGAAAGCATACAAAACAGTGCCCTTCATAGAGAAAATGTTCAATAAATATTAACTATTATAATTCAGTAGGAAGTTACTATTACAAAGAGAAAGACCAAAGAAAGCCCTCTATTTCCAAATATAATTTCAATAATAAACTGATTCTTTCTATAGTTCCTTTAGCAAGATAGTGAAATAGCTTCTCTACAATTCCCCTCATCATATATTTTTTAAAAGTCTGTGTATATATATTTACATATGTATATTAGTGATTTTAGAATATTCTTAAGGCTAATAAATATAGTATAATAGATATAGTTAAAGGAAATATACATAATATAGTAAGTATTTTAAATACCTTTTATTATTGTAAGGTTTGTTTTCACAGATTTCAGGTGACAAGTAGTACGGGGTCCCTATGCAAGTTCGAGCCAGTTCTACAGTACTAGAACAAAAAAAGAATTATTGGAGAAGCTTAAGGTACTCAAAGATATAAATTATCACATATACATCACCATGAATTTAAACTTCACTAAAGACATATCAAAACCAAGTTTAAAACTGATATATTACCTATTTAGAACTCTAGCAATTCCAAAATCTCCAAGTTGTATTGTCCCATCTTTGGTTAAAAATATGTTCTATAAAAGTGAGAAAAAAAACCCAGAATTATTATTACAGTTCAGTTCTGAGTCAACTTTTTTCATAAAAATGGAGTTTAAAAAATGCTAGGCTAACTCGACATCCACATGCAAAAGAATGAAAGTACACCCCTATCTTATATACAAAAATTAACTCAAAATGGACTCTAGACCTAATATAAGAATTTAAACTCTATAACTCCTAGAAGAAAATACAGAAGTAAATCTTCACTGGGCTAGGCAACAATTTCTTAGATATGACACCACCAACTGAAGCAAAAAAGAAAAATAGAAACTGGATTTCATCAAAATTTTAAAAATTATTGTGCATCAAAGAACACCATCAAAAAAAGAGATAGCCCACAGAACTGGAAAAAATATTTGCAAATCCTATATCTGACAAGGAATTTGTATCCAGAATAAAAACGTTTACAATTCAACAGCAACAATAAAAGACAAATAACTCAATTTTAAAATAGGCAAAGGTACATATTATATGAATCCATTTACATAATATGTCCCCAATAAGCAAATCCATAGAGACAGAAAGTAGATTAGTCGTTTCCAAGATCTACGTGGAGTAGGGATAGGGAGTGATTGCTAACAGGTACAGGGTTTCTTTTTGGAGTGATAAAAAAATCTTCAGGAATTAGAAAGTGGTGATGATTTCACAATTCTGTGAATATACTAAAAATCATTGAACTATACACTTTAAGTGGGTAGATTTTATGGAATATAAAATGTATCTCATTAGAGCTTTAAAAATTGAATCCCAACCTCCCCCTCTGTCAACTGTCTAAAACTTCTAAGTAGCCTACTAGTAAATGTAACAAATTAATCCTAAAATTTTCCAAAAATGGGGGCTGGGGGGTGAGGGGCAGGCAAAATAAGTGAAGTGGATTAAGAGATACAAACTTACAGTAATAAAGTAAGTCATGGGTTGTAATGTACAGCATAGGGAAATAGTAATATTTTAATAACTATATGGTGACAGATGCTAACTAAACTTATTGCGATCTTTTTGAAATGTATATATCAAATCATTATGATGTACACCTGAAACTAATAGGATAGTGTATGTTAATTTTTTTTAAAAAAAGTGCAGATCCCTGGGCATCATCCAAAAAAAAAAAAAAAGGTAAAACTATCTGTAGAAATAGATTAAAATTTTTTAAAATTTCCAATAATTTACCCATTTTGCATTTATAAATACAGAACTCCAATACATTTATAAATACAGAACTCCAATACTCTATCAAACAGTGAAGTCAAGATTTTGTGGGATAACATGAATTAAAAACCCATCTTTATCAGTCAGGAGACTTGAATCAGGCACATGCTCAAAGCCAAGATGACACAAACGGGGGTTAACAAGGATGGAGTAAAATGGGATGAAATGGGACTAGGTGGCAGAGGGCTGGGGGACAGAAAAGGTGAACTTCCACCACAGTTTATCTTCTTCCCACTATGCATCTTGTGGCTATTAGGCTATAAAGAAGCTGCAGGCCTGAGGTAAGAAGACAGACACTCAGCCCTGACACAGGAAACAAACTTCCTCTGTACTCCCCTTTCTGAGAACTAAGAGAGCTTAAGTGAGACAACCATGGAACCTCTATGCAAAGATGAGTGAGCTGTGGGGACAAGCCACACATATGAAGCCATACATATAATGCAAAGAAAACTAGCCCCCCCAAATCATCAGAACATAAATTCACTCTAGATATAATTAATTTAAAAAAACAGTCCAACAAAAAATTTAAAATAAAATGTTTAGAAATTTCAGAGATAAATGATGAAGGGATAAATATCATTTAAAAAGAACAAGACATTATGAAATAAGAACCAATCAGAATGTGAAATTCCATTTTCAACCTTGCAGAGAAAAAAATTATTATTAAAAAAATAGATGAGAGCCCTGGCAGGGTAGCTCAGTTGGTTAGAGCACTGTCCCAATATGTCAAGTTTGCATGCTCAATCCTCAGTCAGGGCACATACAAGAATCAACCAATGAATGCATAAATAAGAGGAACAACAAATCAATCTCTCTCTCTCTCCCTCTCTCTCCCTCCCTCCCTTCCTCTCTTTCTCAAATCAATAAATATAAAAAAGTTTTTTAAAAAGTAGATGAGCCCTGGCCGGTTTGGCTCAGTGGATAGAGCGTCAGCCTGCGGACTGGAGGGTTCCAGGTTCCATTCTGGTCAAGAGCATGTACCTTGGTTGCGGGCACATCCCCAGTACGAGGTGTGCAGGAGGCAGCTGATCGATGTTTCTCTCTCATCAATGTTTCTAATTCTCTATCCCTCTCCCTTCCTCTCTGTAAAAATCAATAAAATATGTTTTTTAAAAAGTAGATGAGATAAGCACTAGTTTACACAAAATTAAAAAGGTAGGTTGATGAAATTGACCTATAAAATGGAACAGAGAGACAAAGAGATAAAATATGAAAACAAGATACTTGGAGGGATAGATTAAGAAGCTCCACCATGTCTAGAAAAAAATCCCGAAGAGAACCTTGAAGATAGTAACAGACAAATAATATTTGAAAAAATATAGCTAAACATTTTCCAAAACATTTCCTGAGAAATACACTTTCTCAGAGCGAAATTACACAGCATAATGAATAAAAGCTGACCCTCATCAATGCGTAACACTGAAATTTCATAACAGGGATGGAGAGAATATCCTAAAATCTTCCAGAGAGAAGAAAGAAGGGTAAGAATGATGGCTTTAAATTCCTAAACAGCAACTAGAAGTCAAGTGACACGTGAGCGATATCTTCAAAATTCTATAAGGAAACAATTTCCAATCTAGAAATTTATATCCTATTGTCATTGCCTTCCACACATGCATTTTTTAAAATATTTTTCTGTTATAATGAGAAAGCAAACCAAGATATAGAAAGATATAGGAAGTAGGCAGGAGGTCTAACACAAGATAGACCAGATTGGATTGGGTTCAAAAATTTTGGATCAAGACAATGCTGGTTCCATGTCCATATCCATTCAGAAGTTACTAGTAACACAATAAACATACCTGTGATTTTATGTCTCGATGAAGAATTTTTCTATCATGTACATGTTTCAGGGCCAAACATATCTGTACAAACCAGTCCAAAATCTAGAGGGGTAAAATGAGAGCTGTCATTTCTTTTAAGTTTTACATTTCACAGTGTTCTTTTCTTGACCACTAAAAGGATTCAGGAATGAGTTCAAGGAACTAAGTCCTTTAAAAAATGTAGCTATAATTTATTTTTAATTTGTAGTAACTAACATTACATAGGTATTGAAGCCAATAGACACATTAAAGTTAGGCACATACTAACTTTAAAATGTAAGAGACTGCTACTGATGAATGTCAGAATATGGAAAGAAATTTCTAGAGAGCAATAAAAATAGAAATAATTTGTATTTTATTATAGTATGATAGGTGACTTCTGTTTTTACGTTTATTTTTTTCTATAATGCTTTCTTTGACATAAAAATCATAAGAGGAAAAAAATCAGGCTGAAAAGTTGGACAACATCTCTTGCTTTTTTTCTCTCCCCACATTTCCCATACATAAACACATTCTGGAGTCAGCCACTTGAAAGCAAAAAGGTTTAATTTATTCCTCAGACCTAATACTCAAATAATTCCAAGCAGATGGCATTTTGAAACTATACACACACACACACACACACACAATAATAGAAGAATACATAGGTTCTTTGATTGAAACAGGACTTTCAAATCATGACACAAAACCCACATATCACAAGAAATAAGGATGACAAAGTTGATTCTATAAAATTTAAAGCTTCTGCATAACAAAAGATATAATCAAGCATAACAATCATATGAATCTGCAGCATAATTGAAAGACTGCTAATTCTCTAATATGTACAAGTTCTTTCAAATCACAGAAAAATACTGGCAGCCAAAATAAGAAGTGGACCAAAGACTAGAAAGGCAAATGACTGGGGGAAAATAGCCAATAAACACATACACAAAATACTAACCTTCCTCCAAATTAAAAAAAAAAAAATTTTAAAACAAAATACTAACTGAACTTGACAAAAATGAAATAATATACAATGTTGGTTAGAATGTGGGGAAATAGGTCTTTGCATACCCTATTTGTGGTAACGTTAATTACAGTCATTTTGCAAAGTATGTAAAAATTTTATATTCACATACCATATGAAAGAACAAATTGCAATTTCAAATTTATCCTACAGATATAGTGTTACAAATACAAAAGGATGTGTACAAGGATGTTTACTCCAGCACTGTTTGTCAAAACAAAAAAATATAAATAACCTAAATGCCCTTCAATGGACCTGGTTAAATATATTTGATAACACTACACTAGAAATGCTATGCAGCCACTGAAAAGAATGAAGTATGTCTATGTACACTGTTAAGTGAAAAAAAGAAAGTTGCAGAGCATACTCCTATTTTTTAAAAGTATATTTATGTATATTATATACCTGAACTTTATATAGTTGTATATAAGTGTTGTGGTGTGTGTAAGAATGAAAGAAAGAATAAAGGAAGGAGAGCTACCAATTAGGTAACAATATTTATATCAGGGGAAAATTTTAGAAAATAGATTAACATGCTTCCTATCTGTTCAGTATTTTTTAAAAGAACAAATATTACATTAAAATAACCTAAAATTAATTTTTAAAATTAATTTTCTTAAAAAGCAAGCCTCTCAGTTCAGTTCAACAGATAATTACTAAGGACCACACAAATTTTTAAATTCCTTTCCATATTCACATATTCACATAAGGCACTGTAAGAAGAAAAATGAAATACAGTACTCTCAACTTTAAGGAGTTCATGTGGTGGCAGAAATATAAACAAATACCTTAATAAAATGCACAAACTTTGTAACTGCAATAAGTACACACAGAGCGCAATTAATTCAACCATGAGGGATCAAGAACAAGTACAAAAAGATGAAAATTAAGCAGTGCTGAGTCTTACTGTTATGCAGCCTCCCTGTAGAGCAGAAACACATCTAGAAATGACCTATGCCTCAATTTAAAGATACGGTTTTTCATTAACATATCTCCCATACCTGTACTCCTTTATAACTTTACAAAAGTGTTCAGCAGCAATGATATACCTAATAGGCCAAAGTCAGTCCATGGGGATTACATTTTCTATCCTAGTTATAATACTCTAATTTGGATTTGCACCAGCTTAACTTCAATAACATGAAAATTCTGCTCCTTTACATTTCTATCCCACTCCTTTATGTCACAAAATTATACCTTTATACAATTTTATTTTTCTGTGTTCAGAAACTGAATTGTTACCTGATTGGTAGCTCTCCTTCCTTTATTCTTTCTTTATTTTCTTTTTTAAAAGCATTAGATTCTCAAATTATGTAGAAAACAAAATGTGGAGTACAAACCAGTTGTAATACTAGCTTTGGGGTGCATAATTGCTTTTTAAAAAATGCATTACTCTTAAATTATGTAGAAAAATGTATTGCAAAATATTAGCTTTTATAATTGCTTACGTATTTACCTTTACTGAGATCAATTTCTTCATATGATTCCAAGTCACTGTCTAGTGTTTTATCATTTCAATCTGCAAGATTCCCTTTAGCATTTCTTTCAATTCAAGTTCAGCAATAACGAATAACCACAGCTTTTGTTTATCTGGGGATGTCTTAATTTCCCCCTCATTTCAAAAGACCATTTTGCCAGATATAGAATTCTTGGTTGACAATTTTTCTTTTAGAACTTGAGTACATCAGCCCAAGTCTTTTGGTCTCCAAAGATTCTAAGAAGAAATCTGCTAACAATCTTACCAGAGCTCTGTTACATATAATGAGTCACTTCTTTCTTTGTCTTTGCCTTTTAACAGTTTAATCATAATGTCTTGGTGTAAGTCTGTTTGACTTCAACCAACTTGAGAGTTTTTGCTGAGCTTCCTAGATGTTTATAGTCATGTACAGTGTATTCCAACAAATTTTGGAAGTTTTTAGCCATTAATTCTTCAAATGTTCTCTCTGACCCTTTCTTTCTCTCTCCTCTTTACAGGACTCCCATAATGCATATGTTGGTCTACTAGATGATGTTCTATAGGTTCCTTATGGTCTGTGCACTTTTCTTCCATATTTTTGAAAAAGTTCCTCAGATTAAATAATTTCCACTGTCATAGCTTCAATTCACCAATTCTTTCCACCTGCTCAAATCCACCTTTGAATCCCTCTAATAAATTTTTTATTTCAGTTATTGTATTTTTCAGCTCTGGAATTTTTTGTTTCTTTTTAAATTTTCCCTTTATTAATATAACCATTTTATTTATACACTGCTTTCCTGACTTTCTCCATGTCTTCCTTTAGTTCTCTGAGCATCTTTAAGACAGTTACCATCAGGTCTTTTTCAGGGACAGTTTTCTTTATTTTCTTTTCTTTGAATAAACCATACTGTCTTGTCTGTTTACCTTGTTAGTCTTTTGTACGTGTTCAGCCATTAATTCTTCAAATGTTCTTTCAAATGTTGTTGAAAACTAGTCATTTGAATCTAATAATGGGGTAACTATGGAAAGAAAATTCTCCTCCTTCCCCAGTGCTTGTTGTTTTGAATTTCTGTTTGTTTTTAAATTGTAATTTGCTATCTCTGAGCTGAGGATCAGCCTGAGGTATAAACTTAAAATCTTCTCAGGTCTTTCCTAAGCCTGCATCCTCCTCTACATATGCATGGTGACCTTCTAATTCCCCTTGTATACGTAGTTGTTTTTGAAAGTCCTAGTTTGTAATATCTGACTCCCCAAAAAGGAAAAGAAAGAGAAGAAGCAAGAAATAAAAGGGTATGGCCCTTTAAATCCCTTAGCGTTACTTCAGCCAGAAGGGATGGGACTTGTTATAATGGGGGTGAGGTGAGGGTGAGGGGACAAAACAATAATAGCTGCCTACCTCTACCTCTTTGTCTATCCTTGAAGATCAGAAGTAGCTATCAATGATCAATCAGAGCACAGATCCCTAGTATTCGGAAGTCAGGGACCTTTTTGCCCAGCATGCAAGTTGCTCCTGAAATGCTGCATGGCTAGTTGCCTTGGGACTGAGAGATGGAGAATGAACAGCTGCTACTACAAAGCTAAGAGCTGAAGTTACCTTGGAAGTTGCAAACCTTCAATAGACTCCAGAGATCCAAAACAGTTACATCAAACAGGTTCTGCCACTGTAACTGTATTAGTGGGGAGATAGATTCCTGGTGCTTCCTACTCTGCCATCTTCCCAGAATCCTCTCCATCTGCCTTTATTTTCTGAAATATGCTGTTACTTTGCCCTATCTTAATCAAGTGACCAAATCTCTGACAACTCTTTAGATTTTTGCCTTCCCAAGTTTAGATCCTAAATTTAGGAAAAAATAAAAATTTGAGGTTATCTCTCACTATATAAAAATTAGCTCAGTGTTGTTATAAGAGCTGCATGGGAAGACTTGGTTAACGTAACAATTACTAGCTGACAAGTAGAACAAGGACTCAAAACCAAATCTTCTTACTCCCAAGTTCTATGTTCTGTATACTAGGTTTAATTGTGGAAGAGGAGATAAGTAAAGCTTGAGAATTATGACATTACCTTACTTAGTAATTAAAATATAAGTCGATCTCACCTTACCATATTTTAAAGTTGCTACTAAGAATCTAAAAGTCCCCACATGTACAGTATTATCAATCAACAGCTTAGTTGTGCCAATTTGGTGTCTACCACAGACACAGCTTTCCTAAGTACCCTGATATGATATAAATAAGAGCTGCGATCTCTGCTCTAGAGTAAATTACAACCTAGTTGGGGAAATAATTCTGAGGTGAGGTTATTCAGAGTACATTAAGAAGGGTGCATGATTTAGGAAAAATAAGTGTAGACTTGGATGAGTACAATGGAGCACCATATAGCAGTTAGAAGCAACATTTGCACTCATAGCAAAACAGATGAGTCAGAAACATAGCACTTAGGGTAAAAAGTAAAACTAAATGAATTCTATAATAGGTATGCATTTAAAATACATGTATACAAAACAATGATAGCCGTTTTGCAAAAACACATAAAATATTCATTAAAAACACTAGAATAGCTGCCTGAGGAAAGAAGGGGAATGGAAATGGAGTTATGAAGATAAAAGAGTAAAAATAAACAAGAAGCACAGGCTTTGTTAGAATGCAACATGATGCAGCTATTAAAATTAATATATTTGATCTATATAGACTAACAAGATAATGTTGCAGTGATAATGGCAGATAGAGCATAGTATGCATAATATCCTATTTCTGAATGTGTGTCTCAATTTTTACATGTGTATGTGCAAGTATGAAAAACAAAGCCTGGAATACACCAAACTAAATCTCAGGGACGGAGCAGTGGAAAAGAGGACTTTCCATTTCTGAACTCTTAAATAATTTTGCAATTTACTTTTAAGTTTGTAAAAAGAAAGTTCTATAAAGTTTGGAGTTGCAAAATGGCTATAATTGTTTGGCGTTAGACAGAAGTACGTTTAAACACTATGTGATTTTGGGAAAGCTACTTAAACCTCTCAGATTTCTTAGCTACTAAGCAGAAAATACTACATTAATTCATGGGGGGTTGTAAGAATTAAAAAAGACAACCAAAAAAAAAAAAAAAAAACCACTCCTACCATAGTACTTCTTCCACTCCCCTATGTAAAAGCATACAATTAAAATTAAGAATGGGTGATAATGAGAAACACAATTTAGAGAAAGAAAAGGTCATGGAAAATAAGACTTAAGCTGAGCTTTAAAAAAACATATAGAATATTAATAAGAGAGAGTTGGAGGTAAGGTATTATCAAAATAAAGAAATAATCAGAATAAGCATATAGGAGGAAGAATGAGATGTATAAACATGTGTCCTAGTGCATGCTCAATAAATATGTTAAATATATGAAAAGAATCCACCATTCCTCATGGGTGAGGTCCTTTCATCATGTGCGTTGGGAGGTTGTCAGCTGAGGAAATGCAGTTACTGTATATACAACTAGGAAATGGACACTGACATATTCCTAGAAGATAGGTTTTGATCTGTAACAGTGGATTATATGTTTTTGTTGGGCCTCTTTCTCTTCCACTGTATTGAAAATTTGTCTGGAGCTATGTGAAGACCAAAAGGTGTCAGAGCAGGCCTATTCTGGAAATTGGGCACAATTGGGAGAATATCAAGGAAACAGATGTGCTTTGGAGATTATCATGTCCATGGGATAGCTCCATGGTAGCACTCACTTTATTCCATGCTCTATCTCTGGTGCCTAGCTTGGTGTGGAAGGCACTTCAGTTTTTGTTGGATGAACAGATTTGACCTTCATATCTATCTATCTATCTATCTATCTATCTATCTATCTATCTATCTATCTGTCTACTTATTTGTCTATTTATTTAATTTATGGGCTTTCTTCTCGGGCGTAAACTCCCCAGCCTTTTTTGACACTTTAATTTCTCATGTTCCTTTTTTTCTGGCAACAAAAGTGAACTTCTCAAATTGGGCCTCTTTCAGACTAGAATGGTGCCAAGCTGTGTTAACTTCCCTTCGCTCCAACACACTCTGGGGAGCAGGGCAGAGAAACATATCCTATCACAGCTCTAAAAGTCTGAAAGAATAACGTTAAAAGCCATTTTGAGACCCGGGAATAGTAAAAAGCACGTGAATTCAGGGAAACTATTTTTATACTGCAAAAATTTCTTTTTGAAGGCTATTTATCGAGGTACATGCCAACAGCATAGTATTGTACAAGTGATGTGAATTAAAGCTTACATAAATGTAAAATAAATAACTAAATAAATAGATGAAAAAAAAAGGTGAACATTGAGGAATAACAGAAAAAAATAAGATTGCTTAGGTAGGATAGGGTCATAGTTTAGAGATCCTTGAAATCAAAACAGAGGTTAGATTTCATGCAGTTGCCAATACCAGGTTTCTAGAGCTGCAATTACCTAGAAAAGCTATATTTTAGGAAGACATTGTCTGGCAACAGTAAGCCAGATTGACAGAGTATAAAATTAACCAGTTATGAAAAAAACCAAGATGGCGGCATAGGTTAACGCCGGAGTTTGCTGCCTCGAACAACCACTTCAAAAATACAACTAAAAGACGGAACGGACATCATCCAGAACCACAGGAAGGCTGGCTGAGTGAAGTTCTACAACTAGGAGGAACCGAGAATCAGAGGAGGCGCAGTGCTGAAGTAAAATACTAAGGTGCGGAGTGCGTGCGGCACGGGCTGGTGGCTGAGGGTCGGTTGTCTGTTTCAATCCGGAGGGAGCCTCAGACTCTGAGCTCCAGATCCGGGCGAGTCTCTAGGGACCCAGACTCAAACGGGAGAAGCAGGACTGTCTGGCTTCGGTCCCTCCGAGGTTTGCAGCTGTTGCTGGGACAGAGAGGCAGAACCCCTGGGCACGGACTGAGAGCAGCCATAACTGCTCCCTCCTCCGCCCTGTTGATCCCTTGGGACCCGCCCCGCCCAAGCCCTGCACAGAGCCATTTGCCGGATAGCCTCAGGCAAAGGCTAGATTAGCACCTCCCTAGAGGACAGAAGTTCTCCCACTGCAAACACAGCTGATTCTCACAGCCAGTTGGCCTGGAGGTCAAGTAGTAATTACCTACAACAATCAAGGCTTGACTACAAGACTGCTCACAGAGACCACAAGGGGGTGCACCAAGAGTGTCTACCTCAGGTAATTGGGACACTTAACACGGAAAGCCACTCTATCGACACAGCGAAGCATAAAAAAATGCCAAGACAAAGAAACAGGCCACAAAGGACAGAACCGGAGGAAAGCAGGCTACTGGATATAGAATTCAAAACCACACTTTTGAGGTCTCTCAAGAGGCTTCTAGAGTCTGTCGATAAACTTGATGAGATGTACAGGAAATCTAATGAGACCCTTGATGGTGTCATAAAGGACCAACTAGAAAGTAAGCATACACTGACTGAAATAAAGAATATTATACAGACTCCCAACAGCAGACCAGAGGAGCGCAAGAATCAAGTCAAAGATTTGAAATTCGAAGAAGCAAAAAACACCCAACCGGAAAAGCAAAATGAAAAAAGAATCCGAAAGTGTGAAGATAGTGTAAGGAGCCTCTGGGACAGCTACAAGCGTACAAACATCAGAATTATAGGGGTGCCAGAAGATGAGAGAGAGCAAGATATTGAAAACTTATTTGAAGAAATAATGACAGAAAACTTCCCCCACCTGGTGAAAGAAATAGACTTACAGGTCCAGGAAGCGCAGAGAACCCCAAACAAAAGGAATCCAAAGAGGACCACACCAAGACACATCATAATTAAAATGCCAAGAGCAAAAGACAAAGAGAGAATCTTAAAAGCAGCAAGAGAAAGAGACTCAATTACCTACAAGGGAATACCCATACAACTGTCAGCTGATTTCTCAACAGAAACTTTGCAGGCCAGAAGGGAGTGGCAAGAAATATTCAAAGTGATGAATACCAAGAACCTACAACCAAGACTACTTTATCCAGCAAAGCTATCATTCAGAAGTGAAGGCCAGATAAAGAGCTTCACTGATAAGGAAAAGCTAAAGGAGTTCATCACCACCAAACCAGTATTATACGAAATGCTGAAAGGTATCCTTTAAGAAGAGGAAGAAGAAGAAAAAGGTAAAGATACAAATTATGAACAACAAATATGCATCTATCAACAAGTGAATCTAAGAATCAAGTGAATAAATAACCTGATGTACAGAATGAACTGGTGATTATAATAGAATCAGGGACATAGAAAGGGAATGGACTGACTATTCTTGGGGGGAAAAGGGGTGTGGGAGATGCGGGAAGAGACTGGACAAAAATCATGCACCTATGGATGAGGACAGTGGGTGGGGAGTGAGGGTGGAGGGTGGGGTGGGAGCTGGAAGGAGGGGAGTTATGGGGGGAAAAAAGAGGAACAAATGTAATAATCTGAACAATAAAGATTTAATTAAAAAAAATAAAAAATAAAAAAAATAAAATAAAATTAACCAGTTATAATGAATAATTGTTATATACATAAATATAGGTATTACATATATATGTGTACATACATATACAGACACACACACACATACATATATATATATATATATACACACACACACACATACCGACACAGTATATTATACATGGAACAATATTACAGGCAGGTAATGAGATAGAGAACTGAACTAAGATGGGAGCTATTAGTACAGGAATGTGACTAATATATTAGAATATGTTACTGAACTGCCCTAGTAATTACAATTAGCATTTGCATTTATAAATAAATAAATACATATATAAATAACTTTGAATTACTTCTAAATAACATTATGGAGGAAGAGTCAATCTCCTACATGCTAACTCACCTGATCCTCTTGAAACAAAATGCCTTTCTGAGTATTTATTCGTTTAAAAAGATCCCCTCCTTCACAGTAATCCATCACTATGTAGAGAGAGCCATTTTCTACAAAATATAAACATTAGATTCCATTTTTTAACACGTGTATCAAAAGCATAAAGAAAGGTACCAAAAGGTTTACTGAAAAGCAGCAATTAATTGTGTTCTGTTAAACCAGAAACAGAGTAACACTCAAAAGAATTAGAATGCAAAGTCAAGATATTCTGATAACACATTCAATAACTTGGGTTAATAACTCCATCATTAATATTTTTTCTACTAAGAATACACAATCTTATTGGATAGCAGTATCCACATTGACCCAAACACCTCTGGAATATAGACAATATGTAGACAGATATACAAGTAATTCCTTGACTTATGATGGGGCTACATCCCAATAAACCCATCTTAAGTTGAAATGTATATTGTAATACTTATTAATAATACTTTCATGACTCTTTCTGTGGGTAGACACTTCTTAATCCTTCTCTCCACCCTTATTCTTATAAAAGAATAAAACTATGCTTATTCTTCCCACATAAGGCCAATAGCGCTTCTAACACTTACTAAACTACTGCTTACTAGTGAAACTATTGCAACTCAAAGAACGTTTCTAAGTTTTCACTTCTCTCTGTGCTTATGGCCTTATTTCCAGCAGTACTTATTTCTTGCACCTTGTGGTGGTGTTATTACTTGTAGTGCCGATATCCCCTTCTGATATAGTACTGCTTCTAATGTGCCATGGATTGGGAACCTATAAACTAATTAAGAATCTGTTATAACACTTTATGATTGATAAGAAAAGATTATCCAAATATACATGTGAGAAATCACAATGCAAAAAAACCCTATAATCCACTACTTATAAAAATATGTATAGGATATTAACATTTATGTAGCATAAAAACAAAGAGCAAAAAATTATGTACAGTATGCTATCATTTTATGTATGATTACTAATGTATAGAGCACTTTTGGAAAAAAAAACAACAAGAAAGTGGTGAACAGTGGTTAACTCCAGGAAAGGAAAATAGATACCTGGAAGGTAGGAATAGAAGGCAAACTTTTTACTGTTATATAACATCTGAATTTTGTACCATATGCATGTATCAAAAATAAATAAATAAAACCATCAAAATATTTTTTTTAAAAAAAGGTAAATGTGTATGTGTGTGTGAAAGAGACAGAAACAGAGATAGGGAAACAGAAGTTAAATAAGAACTGAGAAAGGGATGGAGAAGGAATCCTAAAATAAAATGCTGGAGCTTTAGTACAAACATTCTGTAACGTTTTCTGCTGCTTAAACATTGTTTATTTGGGGGATAAATACTACTTAAAATATAAGGTTAACTAAAAAGTCTTTTGTCCATGAGGGAAGTACTAATCTATTTTGTATCCCTTCAATCATTCACACATCTCAGTGCCAGGCACTTTGCACAGATGCTAGGGATACAGAAATATAAGACACTACCCTTATGTTTAAGTAACGAAGCAGAGAAAATAAAAATGTATAACACATATACTCAAATATACAATGATACAATACAAACTCCCACTTTTTCAATAAGATCAAAATTTTTAAAATGTATAAATTTTAGAGATACAGATAAAATAATAAAGTGTCTAATATAATATTTAATATTAAATCTAATTATACATTTAAATACCCGAAAATATTTTCTCTCCACTCTCATATTATATGAAACAATTTTTTTTATTTATTGATTTTTTGAGAGAGAAAAGGAGACACATACAGAAAGAGAGAAAAACATTAATCGGTTGCCTATTGTATATGCCCCAACTGGGGATGAACCTGCAACTCAGGTATGTGCCCTGACCAGGAATCGAACTTGCAACCTTTTTGGTATATGGGATGACGCTCAACCAACTGAGCCACCTGGCCTGGCTATATGAAACAATGTTATCCAAACTTTTCACATCTATTTTCCAATATCAATGTTTATCTGAGAGCAAAGATACTTTAGCTCTAATTCAGACTCTGAAACTGGTATGTGATGTGACCCAAAACAGTCATTTAAACTAACATCTACTTTCAACCTGATTCCTGTTTTATAATTTATAGGGATTTATGATAATAAGGGGAATGACTTCAACAGGATTTCAATAAACCACTTTAACCTGCCTTTAAAGAAGCTTATCCTTATTTTAGTTCCTGCATTAACAAATATAATGGAACATATTTCCAAATCAGCAATACAGCTATGACATTTTAAGAACCTGAGAACACTTTTTCAACATACCTCAGTATCATAAGAATGAGGTCTACAAGAGAATACCAATGAATAAAATACTTTCTAAAGATCAGAACATTTTCTCAGTAGCAGTACTGGTAGAGATTCAAAGGAGTTTAGCTTAACAAAAAGATGTAAACTACTGTTCTAGCTTTGTTCAAATTCTTGCACTTACTAACATCGCTTCTTTTTAAGAAATTATAGTAACATTGAGCCAGTATTAAGCTACACAGGGATAGTGTGATGCATTATCCTAGAATCAAGCTGATATTCATATGCATACATATTGAAGCAAAAATGATATACTTTCCTTCCTATGAACACATTCACAAAAAGATTCCTTATAAGGAAAGTATCTAAATGTCATTATATGGCTTAGGAGTTTTTGGAACTCTCTTGAAAACTGTATCTGACCTTCAAATGATTCTCTATACTGGACAATATTTGGATGCTTCATGTTTGCCAACACTGCAACTTCTCTCCTTGATTCTTCTCTTTCTTTATTGGACATCTTAAATGGGAGGAAAAGAGAAAATACTATATTAAACATTACTATACAATTTGAAAGTCCATAAATAAGAAAGTAGTTAAAAAATAATGTTAACAAAGAAGCATGGTCCAAATAACAAAATATTGCCAGAAGCTAAAAAGAATGAGTTGAATCGACAAGTAAAAACATTTTAAGATGTTCAAACTAGATTTAGTTATAGATCAGTAGACATATAAACACAAGCACATATCATAAAAAAATATGAAAGGATATATAGACTATTCTGAAATTAGTGGCTCTCCCTGGGATTATGGCAGTCTTCCACTTTAGGTTATACATTGCTTTTTTTTTTTTTTTAATCTCTAACAGTGAACCCTTTTGTAACCAGATATTACTTGAATAACCAATAGAAAAATATACTTACTCTTGAGATGTTAATTTCCTTGATAACATATTGTTTGCCATCTTCTGTAGATTTAACAAGAATGGCTTTTCCAAATGAACCTTCTCCAATCTTCTGTAGTCTAGCATACTTCTCCATAGTTATTTTTCTAAGGCATCTTAACTGATAGGCTAGACAGAAACAAAAATAACTGTTAACAGAGATAAGCACATCATCTATAATAACTGTTTAATTTAAATTATACTTCCTTAGTGATGTGTGTACTTAAAAGGATATTTTAAATATTTACTGAAAGTTAAATAAACTTTATTTTATTCATGCAACCTAGTGATAGCTAAAAAGAGAAAAACAGTGACATTTCAATTTTATTATTTTTATTATTTTTATTGATTTCAGAGAAGGGAGAGGGAGAAATAGAAACCTCAATGATAAAAGAGAATCATTGATCGGCTGCCTCCTGCACGCACCCTACTGGGGATTGAGCCCCACAACCCGGGCATGTGCCCTTATCAGGAATCAAACCAGACTTCCTGGTTCATAGGTCAACACTCAACCACTGAGACACACCAGCCGGCCGACATATCAATTTTATAAGAAGGCTTTGTAGCCAAAACTGGTTTGGCTCAGTGGATAGAGCATCGGCCTGCGGACTGAAAGGTCCCAGGTTCGATTCTGGTCAAGGGCATGTACCTGGGTTGCGGGCACATCCCCAGTGGGAGATGTGCAGGAGGCAGCTGATAGATGTTTCTCTCTCATCAATGTTTCTAACTCTCTATCTCTCTCCCTTCCTCTCTGTAAAAAATCAATAAAATATATTTTTTAAAAAAAGAAGGCTTTGTAAAGTCAAATACTGTATATACTTAACATATATGGAGAGAGAAACAAACTTTTTCTTATATGAATTAATTACTAGCACTACTTTATTATCTCCAATAAGGCTGTTTCCCAAAGTTATTTAATTAATCCCCTATTATACATTTAAATTATTTACAGTATTTGCTAGTCTAAAAAAAACTTCAGATAAAATTTCCATGCATACATTTTTATGTACTTATTACTTATAAAAATTCCTTAGGATTAATTCTTAGTTCGAAGAATGTGAACATGTTAAAACTTTCAAACATATTGCTTAACTGTCTTACAGAAATGACTAATAATGTATATTCTAACCAGCAGTGTATAAAAGTGCTTGGCCCGACCAGCGTGCCTCAGTGGTTGAGCATTGACCTATGAATCAGGAGGTCATGGTTCGATTCCCGGGCAGGGCACATGCCTGGGTTGTGGGCTCGATCCCCAGTGTGGATAGAGCAGCTGATCAATGATTCTCTCTCATCACTGATGTTTCTGTCCCTCCCTCTCCCTTCCTCTCTGAAATAAATTTTTTTAAAAATTAAAAGTGCTTGCTCCTAGGTACTCTTTTAACACTGGTATTATTTATTAAAATCTTTGAGAGGCAATTAAGGGTAGTAAAGAGCACTGAAACCCTGGAATCAGAGAACCCAGGTTTAAATCCTAGCTTTATCACTTATTACTTATGTGACCTTGGGCAAGCTACTCATCTTCATGTGCCTCAGTTTTTTCATCTGTAAACTGTGGATAAAAGCAGTCTATACTTACAGACTTGTTGGAGGATTAATTTCAGTCATGTACTAAGAACAGTGCTGGCACATAGGGAGCACTGCCTCACTTTCAGTTCTTGTTATTCATTACATTTGAAGGGAAAAATGGTGCCTTTTCTTTTGCATAACAGTGAATTTGAAAAGTTCACCCATGTTTATTGAACTTTTATATTTCTGATCTTTGAAACACTTCATCCAAGTTCTTTGTCCATTTTTTTCTGGAACAGTCTTTTTAAAAGTAGGAGGGAGGGCCAAGGTGGCGACATAGGTTAAACACGATACTCGCATCCTCCCACAACCACATCAAAATTACAACTAAACCACAGAACAACTATCAACTAGAGAATTAAAGAAGTCACATTGAGACTAGTAGGAGGCGTGGAGGCGCAAAACGGGCTGTTCCAACACCCACGCGTGGCTTTTTTTAATAGGGTGGGATACCTCAGCCACAGAGGCCTCCCGTGAGGAACAAGGGGTCCCAGTCCCACACCAGATCCCTCAACCCTGGGTTCCAGTGCCTGGAAAAGAAGTCCCCATAACTTCGGGCTATAAAAAGCAGCAGAGATTGTGGCTTAGTGACAATACTCCCTCTGAGTGACTTACTCCCTCTGAGTTCCGGAGCTGGTGCAGCAGAAAGGATTCAGGGACATATGGGGAGGCACATAATTGTTTGGCATTAGAGCAAGATTGGGGGGCATCTTTCTCCCAGACAAAAGTGCTGGTATAGGTTTTGTTCCATTGCTGAGACCTCCCCACCACAGTGCATATCGGCAGTCACCATTTTTGAGTCTCCATCAACTTGGCCCACAGTTTTCCTCACCCTGTTGACTCCCTGAAGCCCTGTCCCACCCAATTTGTAGCCTCACCCAAGCTGTTTGCAGTGGCTTTTCCATGTGAATGGCCTGTCCTGGCTCAGGCTTCAGGCTTTCCTAAAATGTCTCAAACAAACAGCAGCTGGACTCAGCATGCCCCATACCTCTTGCTAAGTGGCCTCGGGCCCAGCACTAGCAGCAGCCTGCCTTGTTCACAGCTTGGCCTCTCCTGGACACCTCCAACTCCAACATAAGTAGCAGCCATCTGCAGATTGCTCTGTAGCTCAGGCCAGGTGGCCTTAGGCAGGGCACAGGTAGTAGCTGACTTTGCACCTCCCAAGAGGCCCCAGAGCCAGTGCACCCAGTGGACAGCTTCAGACCATGCCAGATTACAACCCTACCATATCCACAAGCAACACATTCAAGGGGCAGACTCGATGAGCACCATAGCCCCACTGCTCCCTGGGGGCATCTCCTGCACAGTGGCTCTTCCACTGTAGTCGCAGCTCGTTGGAACAGCTGATTGGCCTGGGTGTCAATCCCTCCCAGTGATGCCAACAGCAATCAACACTCGACTACAACAGGACAGTGCACACAGCCCACACAAGGGAGCACCTAGAGTGCCCAGCTCAGGTGACTGGAGAGGCTGAGCCACTGCGCCCTACAGAATACCAACTACACAAGGCCACTCTACCAATACCAGGTGACATAGCAGCTCTACCTAATACATAGAAACAAACACAGTGAAACCGCCAAAATGCAGAGACAAAGAAACATGTCACAATGAAAGAACAGAAGCAATCTCCAGAAAAAGAACTAAATTAAATGGAAGCAAGCAAACTACCAGATACAGAGTTCAAAACAATGGTCATAAGGATGCTCAAGGAACTTAATGAGAGCTTCAGGGATCTTAGTGAGAACAACAATAACATAAAAAAGGACCACTTAGAAATGAAGGATACACTAACTGAAACAAAGAATAATTTACAAGGAATCAACAGTAGAGTAGAGGACTCAGAGAATCAAATCAATTTAAAATATGAGGAAGCAAAAAACACCCAATCAGAACAGCAAAAAGAAAAAAGAATCTAAAAATATGAAGATAGTGTAAGGATTCTCTGGGACAACTTCAAGCATATCAACATTCACATCATGAGGGTGCCAGAAATAGAAGAGCAGGAGCGAGAAATTGAAAACCTGTTTGAAAAAATAATGACAGAAAATTTCCCTTATCTGGTGAAAGAAATAGACTTACAAGTCCAGTAAGTGCAGAGAGGAACCCAAAGAGGCCCACAATAAGAAACATCATAATGCAAATGCCAAAGAGTAAAGACAAAAAATCATAAAAGCAGAAAGAGAAAAGCAGTTAATTACCTACAAGGAAATGCCCATACAACTACTGATTTCTCAACAGAAACTTTGCAGGCCAGAATAAAGAGGCAAGAAATATTCAAAGTGATAAAAAGCAAGGACCCACAATCAAGATTACTCTATCCAGTAAAATTATCATTTACAATTGAAGGTCAGTCAAAGAGTGTCACAGACTAGAAAAAGCTAAAGGAGTTCACCCACCACCAAACCAGTATTACATGAAATGTTAAAAGGAAAGGAGAAGAAAAAAGAGATCAAAATATAAACAATACACCATACACAAAAATAAACTCAAAATAGATAAAGGACTTAAACATGAGACAGGAAAATATTAGAAGAATCCACAGGCAGCAAAATCTCAGACATATGCCAAAGCACTATCTTCACTGATACAGCTCCTAGGACAATGGAAACTAAAGAGAAAATAAACAAATGGGACTACATCAAAATAAAAAGCTTCTGCACAGCAAAAGAAACCATTAACAAAACAACAAGAAAGCCCACTCCATGGGAGAACATATTTGCCAAAGTTATCTCCCATAAGGGTTTAATCTCCAACATTTATAGGGAACTCATACAACTTAACAAAAGGAAGATAAACAACCCAATCAAAAAATGGGCAATGGACCTGAGCAGATACTTTTCATAAGAGGACATTCAGAAAGCCAAGAGACATATGAAAACATGCTCAAAGTCACTAATCATCCAAGAGATGCAAATCAAAACAACAATGAGGTACCATCTCACACCTGTCAGAATGGCTATCATCAAATCAACAAATGACAAGTGCTGGCGAGGATGCAGAGAAAAAGGAACCCTCGTGCACTGCTGGTGGGAATGCAGACTGGTGCAGCCACTGTGGAAAACAGTATGGAGTTTCCTCAAAAAACTAAAAATGGAACTCCCATTTGACCCAGTGATCCCACTTCTAGGAATATATCCCAAGAAACCAGAAACACCAATCAGAAAGGATATATGCACCCCTGTGTTCATAGCAGCACAATTTACCATAGCTAAGATTTGGAAACAGCCTAAGTGCCCATCAGCAGATGAGTGGATTAAAAAACTGTGGTACATCTACACAACAGAATACTACACTGCGGTAAAAAAAGGAATTGTTACCATTTGCAACAATATGAATGGAACTGGATAGCATTATGCTAAGTGAAATAAGCCAGTGAGAGGAAAATAAATATCCCATGATCTCACTCATTTATGGAATATAATGAGCAACATAAACTGATGAACAAAAACAGATCCAGAGACAGAGAAGCATCGATCAGACCGTCAAACCTCAGAGGGAAGGTAGGGGAGGGTGGAGGTAAAGGGGAGAGAAAACCAAAGGACTTGTATGCATGCATATAAGCA